CGTCTTAATTGAAAAATAAAATATTTGTTTCAAAATAGAATATATGACAATATTTAAATATAATATATCCAAGACTGACAAATCATCTCAGTTCAGAATCGTTTTTCGTATACAATGATACCTATYATTGCATTCAAATTTAATCCCATCCATTACAGTAACCTACTGTACAGCAGAGCGACATCCACGACTTACCCGCTTTTTTTTATATTAAAATTAAAAATGCTAAGATATTTTTTAATTCTTAAAAGCTTATTAAAATAAAATGTCTTATAAATTATATATTTTTTTTTTACACCTATGTCCTATACAAATTTTTAATTTTTATACAACGGTCTCGGGCTGGTTGGAATACTTCCGCGGGCCACGGGTTGGGCATGCCTGATCTACAAAGGTACATACTAGGTTTGATAAGTGACAAATAAAAGTAGATTACATGAATCGTACGATTATAGGGAGGATATCCAATGGTAACACTCTATAAAGTGACAGCAATAACAATGAGTATTTTAGAAATGTTGAAAGGTATTACCTGGAACCAACATTCAGCACTTATTCAGCTCGCTAATACTAAAGAATAAGATTTCTACACTATTGCTTTTAAAGTCTACGGCGCGAGTTACCAATGAAACGTGTTCGTTGATAATTTAAAGATTAGAGGATTTATGTGTTGTTAAAGTTTATTATGAAATCTGGTGAAATATAGTTTGGAGATTTGGTTGATATTTTTGATTTTATATTATATATTATATATTTTATAATTATGGAGATTGTTGTTGGATAGGTACCAGGGTGCAGATGAAACTATAGGAAAAGGCAATATTATTTGATATAATTATTATTATTGTTAGTATCATCTTCAGTTTATTTGTTCACCTTATTTCATTAAAAATAGTTTTTTTTGCCATTTGGGAAGTGTACGTATAATGTTAGGTTTTATATAATGTCGTTATGGGCCTTGTTAAGGGCTTAGTTTAATATCGCTATGGGTTCAAATGAATCATTCAGGTCAAGTTATTTTATATAATATAGATTATACTAAATGTCAGCGATTGCCGATCTTTTTTCCCGAAAGCCAAATAGTTTACTAGATTTTATGCCATACAAGTTACTAGTTTAGCGCCTACGCTAATTTTTAATTTTCTTTTTTTAGAAATCTATGTATTTCAATGAGTTTAGAACGATGGTGCAAAAATTAATTGGCGTGGAATCTAATATTTTGGAAGTTATAGCATTCCAAAGTTAGTGATTTCACGTTTATACGCTTATGCGAAATACTACTTTAATGTCGCTCACTGCTCAGAGCATGGTATAATTGGTATAAGCTTAAGAATAAAAAATATGCACAATGATAAGAATGCGCATATTATACCATAGCATATACTATTTACTTATAAGACTTATATTATACTTATAGCCATCTAGTCTTGGTATCGAAGCCGACAGGCGAAGCGACGAGTCACTTAAGCTATACTAAACATGTGTTACTTGAATTAACTAGGTTAAGTTCGCGTGTTATGTTATCTGTCTGCCCGAAGGTCAGGGATGATCTCCCCCTCAGATAGGCTATTTTAACCTTGGGGAGTTTGAGGGTCGAGCCCCCAACCAACTCAAGGTCCGAGGACCTCGAATTTGGCGACCAGAACCGTTAGGTGAAGAGAGCCACTACAATACTAGGTATATTACTTATATAATTTTGTTTAAACGATAAGGGTTACATCTAACTGTTAACCACTCAATATAGTTTAATAAATATCATCCGGAGACTGGAGCACATACGACATACACATACCAACAATGTGGAAGGAATGTCGCATCATGTGAAAGCATCCTTTTGCAAATATTGTTGCAAGAAGCGTTTTTACACTGTATACTGGCGAAATATATGTTTTTAAAATCGTGACCCTCTAAAATGTAGACCTTTTAGATGAGTTTTTCGGTTATGTTCAGTTTTTTACAACYTTGCCCACGTAAATAATGCACCCTTGTGAACTCGACAGCGCAACATTAGCAGACATATATCTAATCAATCCAACAAATTTGTTGGTCGATTGTTGGACAACTTTTGAAATTTGTTGGATATTATTTTCACCGTGAGACCAATTTCCAAATTTGCGCTGCCGAGTTCAGGCCAGCAGCGCAACTTTTTGCTGGAACGTGTTTATATTAAAAGTTGTTTAAATATTTTTCATTAATATACATTATATTATATATTATTTGAAAAGTWATACTCGTATCTATCATATTCTTTTTTTATTACAAAAAATTAAATGTATTTCAACTAAGTATTTTCCGTATATATTGCTTTGAAAAGTATGTTTACTTAATGTATAGGTACTTATCTATCTTTATCTATTTTAACTCACTTATAAGAACTTGGTAAATGTTTTAAAAATTACACTTTGGCCAAAACATTTAGAGCAGCGTTTTTAAACAAGGGGGACGCGATCACCTTAACTAGGGGTCACAAGTTTAGATTACTACACATGGTATTTATAAATTTATATTCAAAATGGTATATTTTGTTTGGTCAATCGGTTAATGATATAATAATGTTATTGTTAAAATTTGTGCTAACCTAACCTGGCCGAAAAAACAGTTAACCGTACATAAGACATAAGCACAGATGTGATAATGTCCAACAAATTTCAAAAATTGTCCAATAGTGTCCAACAAATCAAATCGAGTAGAACGTGTTTAGCGCAAAAAACACGTTCCAACAAAAAGTTGCGCTGCCAAGTTCACGCCAGCAAATTGGAAATTGGTCTCACGGTGAAAATAATCTCCAACAAACTTTAAAAGTTGTCCAACAATCGACCAAAAAATTTGTTGGATTGATCAGATGTATGTCTGCTAATGTTGCGCTGTCAAGTTCACAAGGGTAAATAATGCATTTGAGTCTGCAGAGTCGGAGTCTGTGATCGAATCGGAATTGGAATCTGGTACTGAGTCCGATACTTGGTTTTCTTTTGAACAAAAAAAAATGTATTCAATTTGTTATGCTTAATATCGAGTGTAATTGTTTTTACCTTGTGACCTATTCCTAAAAGCTATTGATTTTTAATAATCGTTTTTAAGACTTTGATTTAYATAGTTTTCAAAAAAAATAAATAAATAATTGAAAAATTCGTTATGAGCGCGGAAAGCGTAAAACATCGAAAATTGTGAACTTCGKAAGTTATTACATAAAAACTTATGGTTTCCGCCAATTAATTTTTGCACCATCGTTCTAAACTCGTCGAAATACATAGGTGTCCGAAAAAAAAATTGAAAAATTCACGTGGGCGTTAAACTAGATTTGTTCCTTTAGGTACCTGACGCTGCCGTRGTTTTCTTGGCGACCGTGATGATGGACGGTGACGTCTCTCGACGTTTCGACAAGGTCTGTGGCTCAGAAACAGCRGTCCACATCCGGTCGGTAGACACGGCGGCATCTCCGTTGGCTGTGGTTGTGACCGGTAACGGTACAGTACTTGCACCAGTACCGCGGTACGTGGTATCGGCTAACGAGTCAAAAACGTTTCGGTTGGTGGTGGTCTTCTTCTTGCCGTCGTCTCCGTTATCATCGTCATCGTCGTCGTCGCTGAACAACAAGCCCGCCGAACGGGACGTTCGCTGTTGCGTGCTCTGTCGCCTTAAGTCATGCCGTCTCGACGCATTTTGCCCACCACCGCCGTGTGACGATGGTTCGTACGACGTTACCTCCGTATTGCTTTTCGGCCGTAAGCCCAGCCAATCGTCTGTCGTCGTTTTCCGTGTGGTGTACGACGATGCCGGTCTTCGCATATCATTCCTGCCGAGGACGAACGTATAAGTAAAAAATAATCACAATGTCGTTTACTGCAACGAGTCAACCTAATGTTATAAACTTATGCACATTTTGTTAATTCACAATTGTTCTCGGACTTATGCACTTAGTTGTGTAGGTATTTACCTAGCTATGTCTCTGCTTTTCTTATGTTTGTTTTWACCCGAGTGCATTGTATTGTAATTACGTTCAGTGAAAACTCGATAAATTGAAATGCTAGTGAAAACTTCCAATTTAAAACAGTGTTGTTTTTAAATTAAGTCAGTATACCTATCTCATTTATAAATTTTAATTTTGTTGAGAATTGAGTTTGAGTTTAAGATTAGGGACTTCATTTTAGTTTTTTCTTAGGGTGGGGCAAAATTTTCATTGACTAATGTACATTTGGTATTATAGTTTATAACAATATGAACTATATTGCAAATACATTTGCAAGTTGTGATCAAAACGTTAAAGAAATAACTTTTCAAAATGTTAACTAAGGTGCAAAAATGTACACAACACAAATATTACCTACACACATTATAATTTATAMATTTTTACCTATTTTGGGTTGTGGTCTGAGTTRGTGTTTACATAAATATAATTTTAATATTATAGTAAAATATTTAGCTAGAATATTTAGCAATATTTTTACAATGCATTTTTTAAACCTATGCAATTACTCATAAAAAAAGAAAATGTAATACCTACTTAATCTTTATAGAAATAGTTTCACCTAATGAYAAAATAAGAAGAACACGATAAAAAATAATATAAATAACAATAATTGTTATTGTTATATAACTCTTATAGGATAATTACGTGAATCGAGATTGTCACAAAATATCAATCACTTGTTAGTGTCGCTTTAAATAGTATTATTCGCTGTGGTGTTCTTTATGTTTCTTAAAAATACCATCGATTTACTCTTATAATCTTTTGGCCACGACCASCTGCCAACCGTTATGGTAACCCCCAATTTCCAACACTTAAAAGAATGGCACTAAAAAATTGACCCATTCATAATGTGAAYAGAACATTTCCATAACTGTCCCCTCCTCCAAATATTGCATTTGAGATCAATGACCTAGTACATAATATCGCCATGTAGGTTTTTTTTGTACCTTACAGATGTAAATAATATATAATATATATAATTATACATAATATTATGTTGAGGACTATTTACGAATTTACGATTTAATTATTTTAAACCACTTCTTTTGGTTGTCCCATACTGTATATATTTTGAACTCAAGATATCGTGATGGTTAAGAATAGRCGATATATATTAGGAATTACCAATAAATAATTTTGGAGGGTTACTTCAGKTCTTTCAGAAAGTTTTCTGATRCCATTGGCATAAAAATGTAATGTTTGTACATGTACATAGAAAGTARAGGAAAATCAAAATTAACAAAGACCTCAATTAATACAAAAAAAAGTAATAAATKAATTTCGTATTCGTAGGTCAGAAATAGTTMATCCATGTGCTGCTATTTTATAACCCTTATTTGCAATAGTTTYCCGGCGCAAGTCTCTACATAATTATATCAAAAACGTTAAAGTGAGAGATCCTCCCGTCCATTACTATATGCATCGGCGTACATTTTTTCTTGATCTTTACGTTTGCCTTCATCTCTAGTAATCAAATCGTCTAATACGTCCCAATTGTCGACTGATGACCCTGCAAGACATAAATCATATAATCACTATAAAGGTAAGTCAGGAAGTCTAAACTTCATTGTAACATATGTATATATATATATATATATATATATATTATAAACAAATTTTACGAATCTAGTTCAGTTATCTGTTATAACTTTATAACTGCACGTATATAATCATTAATCATGTATCCGTCTATTTAGACAAAATATAGATTCTGCCTAAATTTTATACAAATAATACTTTACATACCTACTAGCGATTTTCAACTAACCTGTCATCTTATACTTATTTTATTACATTATTCGTCTTCAGTTAAAAATAATATAGTCAACATATTATACTGATTAAGATTATAGGACTTTTTATTTTGTTGCTCTTGTGTCTTATATGGTCAACTGTAAAATCATGTTTCTGCACGAGTTGCTTGATATTCAAATTGCTGATGTTTGCGTCCATTGTTACCAGGACAACGTTTTGTGCGAGGGGTGTAATATTTAGCTTTGAATAGGAACCGGAATAGTAGGTACAACATTTAATATATATACTTTTTGGATCCCAAAGCCTATCCCTTGTTTTTTTTATCAATTAAAAATTATTATCATTACCTATCTTACCGATTTTAGTTAGGYACTTACATAAATCATTGATARATAAATAAATAAATAAATATTGTGTCGATTTTTTGTTGGTATCTACCTATGAGTTGTAGTAACTCCGCAGACAATATCAAGAATTAATTAAGTTGATTGAACCACTCGATTCTATATCCTGATAAATTTTTATTAAAACTACGTTTACCTAACAAACATGCACTGATTTTATCTTTAAAAGGTTGTTCTGCCACCTTGTAAAAAGAAGAAAAAATATAGATTAAATATTGTTACGTTATATTGAATAAACATTAGATGACTATTTAAAGAATAAATAAAGTAAAATTATAAATGGTTACCTTGTTACCTATAAATAAATCGTATAGGTAAGTGTATTGTATTTGGTAATTAGGGTATACTGTATAGGTATTATATACAAAATTTAGCCATGCGGATATGTACTTATTACACACACTTAGTTGTAACTTGTATGTACTAAAATTTTATAAAAATTATTTGATCATATATTTAAGAATAATGTAAATAACTAGGTAACAATTTTATAGTATCACAAAGTTTAATAAAATATAGAAAACAATAAAACAAAAAAATCGTAATAATACAATTTTACATTATAATGTTTTCATACAAATTGTCAACCAAAATATTTAAATTATAACTATTAATTTATTTTTTAGATTCTGATTGGAGAGGTGAATGTARGCATTGATTTTCCAATTATGGTTTGTTTTTTTCTTTGATCATTTTTTGAAGGGGCTGCCTAAGGGCGTTTAACAGCCCCCTCCCCTGATATTTTAACAAATTTAGTAAAAAAAGTATTATTAGTGATAGGAAAAGGTTAAGATTAAGTAGTGGTCTTTGGTGGTGAACATTTTACAATTGTGGTCCATGCCTAATGTTGAGTTGGAAGCTACTGAATATAGTGATCTAATTTGTTGCTTTTCATCACTCTTTTTATATTATAAATTAKTTTTTACCACATAATTTCTAAGATAAATTAAGGATAATAAAATAATTGTTTTTAATAAGAAAGATATTTTATTTTCAATTAAAAATTAATAAACAATAATTTTACCTAATATTTCCAACATTGTATAGTATAAGTATTAAATAGGTATACAAAATAAACAGGTTGTTAAGTATTTTAACAATAATTAAAATTAACAAAATAAAAAAATATAAAATTTTAAATTTAATGCGTATTTTTTATTGCATGAAATATCCTGTACTGCCATAGTAATAACTAATAAGCACATGATAATATAACATGTATGCCAACAAAACAATTAACATTTACAATTCAATATCTATAAAATTTAACTAAAATATGCACCATAGTATAATTAATTGATAGGTGAGAWTAACTGTCCCACTTCATCCATATTAAGATGGTACTTAAACAATTAACATAATAAATCATAATCATTAATTTTACAACATAACTATTTAAAATAGACTTATACATACCAAAATTAATAATATTACACATAATTTTTATATAAATATAGAAGCATATTGGGTGATTCTTTTAATGCATAATAATCATTATTCCTAGTTTGTTTTTCTATATAATTCAAAAATAAATTATTTTTTTGTAAATACATATTAATTTTTTATATTTCGAATATTTTATTCTTGAACAGCCCAAAATGATATTTTTTTAAATGTATTTATTTATACATATAAATTACATTTTAGGTGGGAATAGTTGTGCGATACAATTTCGCAGAATAATATCACTCAGCTGAACAAGAACATATTAAAAAAATAAAAAACTAGTAAATTATGAACTAAATAAGTATGGCAAAACATAATGTGTAAAATCTTAAAATATTGAAAAATTACTAACAAAAATGAGTTTTATGCATTAAAAAAACACATTAAACCTAATTTATTTTTGATTAATAATAACTCTGTACACAATAACATATAAAATGGAATAAAAATGTTCAATATTTTAAGTTATAAAATTAGTTAAATATAAATACAATAGTCTACATTAAAATCAAAATAGATAGTAATAAATCAATTATTTGACAGTCAGATCCACCATACTACAACTAAGAGCATTCATTTAGGCAAGTAAACTTTTTCGTCTAAGTAGTTAAATTATAATATTTATAAAAGTACAGAGTAGGAATTTATTGATATGATAGTTCTGTCAATTAAAATAAAAAAATAACAAAATTATAATAAATACAAATTTAAAATTAATACTAAGTAACAAAAATTCATTACTTATTGTATCATTTCTTCATCGTCATCTTCTTCATCACCATAATCAGCTTCACTTATTGTTGGCACAACAGCACCTTTTAATGGACAGTGCTTACACCTAAACAAAAAAATAATACTTTTAGCAATATCTATTTCAACAAGAATTTCATGATGAAGTACCTGCTCTGGTTTAATCCATAATTCAAACACAGTTCACCAACACATTCACAACATCCATCATGGAACCATCGGTAGCTTTTAGCACCCATTGATATACAAGCTCCCCTACATTTGTTCCAAGACAAACATTGATTCATGAATACAACAGAACAATTCAGAGTGATCTTCATAGAAGATACATCTTGAGCAGAGTTTTCTAAATTTCAAATTTCATTAGAAATTATTTTAAATGTATAGATAGTAAAATGTTATTTACTTTGCAACAACTTGAATTCTTTTTGAAAATCAGGTTTGAACATTTCAATGTCTAAATCAATTGGGTATGTAAGAGATTCCCATCGTTGTTGTATATCTGGTTCCGAAACAAGAGCAGTAAACAAATTTACTACAGAGTCTGATAGATCTTCAACATGACTTTTTCTACTCAATTCATTAGTAGTAATATTTGGTTTTGGACACATGTCTAAAATCATAGAACATAATTAGCATTTTACTGTATTAATTTATACATCTATCAGAGGAWGTGAATTTTATATTTAGTACTGCAGATATTTTTAAAACTAAAGTTTTTAATAATAATTTAAAATTAACTATTAAGTAATTAATTTTTTTGTCTCATAAAGATCAAGACCTTATTGGTGTGCAGAAATTAAAGTTTCATATTAACATGATTGTTAAAACTAAAAACATTCAGTGCCAAGCAATTTACACCTTCAACTCTTAATAAGATATGGTCGAGATTTTAGTTTAGAGATATAAGCAACACTTAATAGTATTAATTGAAACTGAATACAAGCTAGGAAAGTAATGCCATAAATGATGTAGAAACACTTTGATTATGAAGATAAATGAAAAAAAATAAATAGTACTCATGAGTCAGCTCCTGCATTCATGCTACTTGATCATAAAACTTATCTGGTAAGGTCATACGGCTATTTTATTATTAAACTATAGCTATTAAAATAAAGGCTATAAGAATGTTAATTAATAGACGATGACCACATATCAGAATGTCTTGTGATGGTAACGGAAACAACTGATGACTCTTGTTGTATGGAGGCAATGAAAAATCAAGACAGACAATCAACATACGGTCCACAAACAGAACCAGATCGACCAAACCGACGTGGTCAACAACTTAATGCTATGCACACGACTCACCCACGCACGAGCAGCATTCACTGTACAAATTGTTGAGGCAACTGAAACATTCTTTGCAGCACGAACAGTTTACCAAGTCGCACTTGCACGACTGTGTGATCATGCACTTGGAGACAATTGACGCGCACACGGCCTCGTTACACGCATAAGTAACGTAAGCGAACGCAACTAGCGACCCGACGACAGTGACAAGAAATATGTTCTTCATCTCGCGGGCGACGGCTCCTAAAAAACGATGTGTGTCAGTGTCACATGCGACATCCGAATCCGGACAATAATATATTATTGTAATTATTATTTTTTGGGCACCGTCACCGTGTGTTACCTGCGGGCGCAGCTGTAGAGTCACCGCGGTTTATTGAATGCCGATGATACAGTGTTTGGACGGACACTGTTAGTCACTGATCTGTGATTGCTGTCGTTGTGGTCGTCGTCGTCGTTGTTGTTGTTGTTGGTTGTTATACTATCGTAATACTTGTTGTTATTTAATATTTACGTTATCACTTAATCAATCACTATCGCTCCCTCCACCACGTTTTGCCAACTACTATAGTTGTAGACTTGTAGTACTATAACAGTATATATACAACAGTATTACGTCTTGTCAATGACGACGATCACGGTCCACGGATGCAGACGATTCAGTATTCAATGAACGGCAAACGCGCAAACGGCGTTGGTGTAACCTTCGTAATATTAATGACTGATGTCTAATACAAAATAATAATATATTATATAAAATTATTGAATTTGAAATTACAAAAATGCTAATCAAAACTAACAAAAAATGCGGTTTTATTAGTCATRAACTCATGAATGTTCAAAAATCGAAGTACTGTTCATTCGCTGTTCCGTGATGTAATATTTAATGTAAGATAAATTGTCTCAGTTCCGTTCGCCACCATTTATGTGTTATTTGATGGTACCTAGCATACTACACTGTAATAACTGGAAAAAAAAAACATTCAAGTAGTTTATTGGAATTTAGGCACGAAAAAAGAACCCCCACCTATACAAAGACTGTTATTACGTCCTGCTGTATGTTTGTTAGGTATGTTACTATCAAGAGACGATCTTTGTTCTCTAATGTCTGTACGTGTGCGGGTACGTCACGTCGAGACTTAATACTATTATAGAAATTTCCTAGAAGGCGGAAATATAACATTTATATATAATCTGTACATATGAGGTAAATACTTATAGTAGGTATAGTGTTCTGGGAATTACGGTACCTACCCATCTATAATCCCATTTTAAAAATGGGATATTATGTTTGTATCACACTATCACCATAGAACGGTAGTCAGAAAAAAAACCAGGGTAAATAAATCCACGGAAAAAAAGCCAAGACAAAAAATCCAGGGAAAAATAATCCACAGAAAAAAAAGCCACGGGAAAAAAAGTCAAATTACAATAATTAAATATATAACAATTAAAATTAAAGTATTAAATTATAGGTATTATGTAAAAAAATTGTACACATTATTGGTCAAGTGTATAAAAAATAATTATAATTAAATATATAAAAAAGCTGGGTAAATCGTGGATGTCGCTCTGCTGTACAGTAGGTTACAAGTGGGTTACTGTAATGGATGAAATTAAATTTGAATCCAATGATATTATATCATTGTATACGAAAAACGATTCTGAGCAAAGACGGTTTATCTGTCTAGGATATATTATAGATTATAAAAAATCAAATCTTAGATTTAAAATAAAATTTTTTTATGAATTTCTAGCATAAAATAATTTGAACATTGCTGTAATTTTTACGTATTTAGTCAAAATTCAAACTTTGAATGCTTGTAAAAAAAAAATTGTGACTACGCATTTCTTTTATTTTTCAATTGCAATTGTAAAAATTTGATAGGAGCTATGTATTAAATTTTCAAATCTTAGATATAAAAGGAACATTTTTTATGAATTTCTAGCATAAAATAATTTATGAAATTTCGTGATTTTTACGTATGTTGTTAAAATTCAAACTTTGAATCCTTGTAAAAAAAAATTGTGACTAAGAATTTTTTCAACTGCTATTGTTAAAATGTGTTAGAAGCCTTGTACTAAATTTTAAAGTTTATCTACCGAACAAATAAATTTTTATCGATATTTATAGAAAAAAAAACTAAAAAAGTTGAAAAATTAAAATGTCAGTAAACAGCTCAAAACAAATATAGAAAATGCCTATATAAACATTCAGTGAAAATTTCAAGTAACTTGACAATTTAATACAAGGTTCCTTATGAGTTTTTCTTATTGTAGCTAAAAAAAGTCACAATTTTTTTTTATAAGCGTTTATACTTCAAATTTTTACGAAATCTGTCGAAAATGCRAAAATTTGCAAGTAATTTTGAAGTTTAAAATCATAAAATTTTTTGTGTTTATAACTAAGGATTAAAAATACAACACTAAGTTTTCCATTATTTTTCCATAAGTTTTCCTTCAAGTAGCTATAGAGAAAACTCGAAGCATCATTATAGGAAAAATTCTAAGTTGTTATTAGGTCAAAAATTTGAAACTTATAATATGGTGTAGTAGCTAACAAACTTTATTGTTCTAATGTTAGCAATAGTAAAATATTTGGTTTATTATCACCGGAGATACATGAAATCTCTTGCTTAGATGGCCGCCATTCCTTCATCTTCCCCGCACAAAATACAACGATTGTTTCGGTTTTTAAGGTTTCAAAGTTGCGGTGATGTTTTTATATATAATTTATACGTATAATATGTATACTTAAAAAAAGTGATTTGGAATTTATACACATATTATTATATATATAGGGTGTAACTGTGTAACATAAAAAATAACTGATAGAAATTAAAATTAACTTACTTTTATTCTTATACCTATATACGTTGTCTTTTAAATTAAGATATTACCTATATTATTATTATGTTCATAGATACACACAAACAGACACACACACAAAATTATAATAAATAAAGTTGATTAAACCAAAGTAATTGCATAGTTAGCTACATAATATGTTAGAGAACTATTAAATTTACTCTCTATATAATATTTAGTATAAAAATAATATATATTATGCCACGATATAGTCTAATTGTAAACTATTAATTTCTAATTAGTATTACGCGCGTTTTGTATGTATATTTTACACAATATAGGTATGTAACTATGTTGATATATTATGTATGTTTTTAAATCAGAGGATATAAAAAAAATAATTATTATTGCATAAATTATAATATTTTATTCATAACGATATTCAATACATATATAAGATGTATATATATAAATTACACCACGTTTCGCGCTTGGAAGTCAGTGACCGCGTCGATCAAGGGCATTGACGAATTCTATAAAACAATTCACGGTTTTACGTTCTAACACTATATTGTAATTATAGACATAAGGGGATAAAATACAAGCCGCCGCACCCCTCAAACATTTAAATGGTTATTTTTTCATTTGTATATAATATTATAATTCAATGTACTTATACTAATAGTTACAAGTTACAGCTAAAATATTTGAAATTATCTGATTTAGGCACGATTTACAAATATCACATTAAATGTATTTATCAGTATACTATACATTTATAGTTATATCTTATATATTTAATTCTCATCCCTAAACCTATCTATACTTTCTGCCAACGATTACAGCTATAGGTTGCGGGTATAAAATTTAATGTCAACAAAATTCAAGCCCATTAAAATTCTCTCTGAAAAATCTTAGCTATCAAAAAAAAAAATTTCAAAAATGAATTATGATAAAGTATATAAAAACTCAGTCATTATCATTTGAAGATGGCTTAAAAATCAATAGAAATTATTAAAAAAATTGTGAGCGTTATATTTAAATAAGCCACAGATTATAGTCATTTTTTCTAATATTTTAAAAACAAAAAAAATGAAGCGTTACGCGCTTTATTATGAATAAATATACGCCTATTCTTTATTTTTTATTTACTTTATATTAATATTATACAATGAAAAGGTAAAAAGGCACTAACTATGAGAATCTCTGATGAACTTTTGTTACACAGAATAACGTATCAGCATTTAGCAAATAGCAGAATCACTTTGATTTTAGATTTATGAAAGTAAATTTTATAATTTCATACAGAAATCTATCCAAATTATACATACACTATATACAAAGCTTTGTTTTATGCTTATGAATAAAAAAAATAGTTAAATAAAATCCAAACTGAGTTCGTTTTGTTGCATTTTAATTATAGTAATCGATTTTAGACAATATGAAGTCTTCTTCACTACCTTGGGTCTGGTCTGAGCCTAGAATAAAATAATTATGAATAGATTGAGAACTATAAGGCCAAAGTGTATTTTTTTAATTTGTTAAAAATTAAAAATATAATTTGAATGTGAATAAATAAAATTATTAGAGTATTTTTATTCAACGATCTCACGTTCCCACATTATTATTTATACATAAAAATTACACTATACTTTGATATGCTTATAATATATAGTGTTTGATTTTGTTAGAAGGCACTATTATATTAATTTTTCATATTATAATTCAAAATGTGGTTTGAAGTATTATTTATAAGAAAAAAAATAGGGATGATAAAATAGGATGACCTACCTAAATACATAATATGAATTATGAACTTATGCAAATTGTATAAACGAATCGCCGACTCTTAAAGCGAAGACGGTGTGTTRATATTGTCAGCCTATATTATTGTTATTAACGAAATTTATTTTTCTATTAGATATACAAACTATATTAATATAATTTGTTTAAGTATTTTGGTTAAAATATGAATCACTTATGAAAAATTATTTTTAAATATTTATTATCTTAGCTATAAAAATAAATTTTTAACTCCAAAATTATTTAAAAAATTTCAAAATTTTGATGAATTTTGAAATTTAAAAAACATAGATTTTATTTTTTAATCTAACTTAAAAACTAATGACCGTAGAAACTTTAAACTTTCAGCATAATATAAACAACAATTATGTATATATTATAATATTTTCAAAATATTTTGGCTATTTTTGAGCTATTTACATCCATGAGATATTTAAAAATTATTGTTGGTAAATAATTCTTTGCCTGGAAAAAAACTTAAAAATTTGGTTTCACATAAATTCTTAATAATTATATAAATAAAAAAATTTAGCGTATGTTCATGTTAAGTTTTATTTGATGTACCTAGATCGTTTTAACTTAGATTTTTGAATTTTAACAGATTCGTCAAAACCCGTGAAATTTACAAATTATTTACAGTTAGAAACTCATGAAAATTTTTCAGCTAACAAGATGAAATTGAAAATAAGATTTATGACAAGTTTCAACCTTAAACGAAAAAAAATTTTCCTGAAAATAACGTTAATATTTTATGAGCGTCTTAATTTTCTTAATTTTCTGAATATTCAAGAATTTTAATTATTACATTTGGTTATTCCTATAAGAATGTAAAGATAACACACCATCTTCGCTTAGATATTTTTCGTATACAAATGATTAATCATTGAATTTAAATCTAACACATCCATTATGATTTCATACTCGATAATTACCTATTACAGTTCAGAGCTATAGCCACTTGTCCACCTTTTTTTAAACATTGAAAAGTGACTTGTATATTATTTTATTTDACCATCGGTGTTTATATGAATGGTTTTATAATTTAATACGCATTGTACACGATATTTTATGCATATCAATAAAGCCAACCACACGATTAGTTTCCAATACATTTATAAATATTAATTCTGTACTATAATAATTGGAATGTTTAAATGTTTTTTTCTTTAACAGCCTTAGAAACAAAACTATACAATAATGTGCCACGAAAAATCATTTGGTTTATGAAAAGCTTCTTTGAAAATGTATAAACCTATCTATTAATGAAAATAACCTCTCATACATGTCATTCCCTCAAAAATATTAGTCTCTATCTTTTCTGTATGGGTGATTTTAC